ATGCTCCCTGCGCCGTCGTCGTCGCTGCTCCGACGACTTGTTCTTCAGCCGAGCCGCCAGAGGGTGAACTGGTCGAGGAGAGACACGGTGCGTTTCTAAAAGCGGAAAGAAACGGTCTCGCGCGGTCTCCGATTCCTGCTGTTGCTGCCGCTAGTAGAGAAGAAACTTCAGAACCGGTGGTCGCTACGTCCGCCGGTACATCGATTGTCGCCGGTTGCCATAGCCGTCGCCTCCGCAGAAAGGAGCATACCATTTCATCAGATGGCAGTAAGGCTTTGAAGCGCGAGTACCCACAAGTCGTGAACGCCCTCTGATTGACTAAGCCAGCTGCCATCAGAAGGAGCCGAAGGCCCTGCCTACCATGTATAACCCGCTCGCATCGATCTGTGTTTCCACATCTAGAGCGAAAGGGATTGCAAAATAACTTCCCCCGATTCCCAAACAGGAACGTTGTAAGTACAAAGTTAAAATACAGATTTTTTTCTCGAACGACACTGCTTAAAAAGGGACTATTTTGAAAATTGCTCCGTCTTGAATAAGAGTAATGCGATTTTGCGAAGAGGAAGGAAACCTCAAGTGTCAAAAGTGGAGGCACTATTGAATGATAAACAAAGCCGATAGCACACATGTGGACATTAATCTCCACTAAAGGTCTTATATATCGTAGCTTCTATTAATAGTCGGTCGCAAGCTAAAGGGAAGATGCAGACGAAGACAAATTTGAAACAATGACGTTAACATTTCCTGATGTAAACTTGGATTTTTAACTGCATCTTTCATACGACGTGAATTAAAGGTATTAAGTGAATTCGGGCCCATTTTTATAGCACTCTACACAGAATAAACCATGATTAAAACTGCGAGGAAAAACAGCAATGTCATCTCAGAAGTAAAGCATCAAGTGATTCCTGGATTGTTCGAGTGACGAAGTTGAATTGATTTGTCATAGTTGGCCATAAACTTTTATAGCGATGTGAAATGGTGCATGAAATGAACAGGTCAGCCAACAGGAACACTTCATACTGAAAAAGTACTCTTTAGTACATTGAAACCCTGATAAACCTGTTCATTACCAGGCTCAATCTCATGTAGGCACGAGCCAAGCATATAAATACCTTCAGAATGTAGTTAATTTTGCATATGTGTCGATTAGTGGCCTGATACCTATTACGGTTCAGTTGAAATCTATTCCCACTAATTTATAATAGCGCCCACTTGTTACACGCATAGCGTCCAGGACAACCCAAAATCTTGGACCAATCGTTGTTCCTTGCAAGCGGCTTTGATTGACGTCACCACATAGACCTCTAGTTACATTTAAATCTCTAATTAGAGGACCATACAGATTGTTAAAATGTTTTACAGTTTTTACTTGGTCGAAGTTAGCAGCAGAAGTAACGCTAGTCGTCCAGTTGTCCGACGCTACATAAATCATTGTTAACTTGCACTTCTTGGACTGAATGAATAAATTTTCATTCATTTTTTGATGGATACTCATGAGTACCTTACAGCCGTCAAACCTCCGTACTATCTAGCTATCTGAATGGATATGAGCATAGGCAACTTAAGCTAGGACTGAAACCGTTGCTTGCAATGAAAAGACGCCTTTATCGCGTAGTTTACACATAGCCTGTTATGTGAATTGAAGGCCTTAGGTACGTCTAGAGTTTGCCATGTTGTTATAGATACCGCCAATGCTAGCCTATCTTTGATAAGAATAAGTGAATCTCAAACTTTCAAAGGTAGTTGACTGCTTGTTGTCAGGTGTTAATATATCTAGATGTTGGTAAAAGTTTGTTATATATATATGTTGTCGATATTTGCTTAAATTGCAGCAATATAGTATATCCACAGCGACATAGTAATCCAATTGGCGCAATCTGTAGAGTTTTTTTTTACTGAATATTTTCAGTATTTGTACGGGATGCAGTTATAGAGTTTAATTTTAAATATTTAGATATGTTTCAGATCGGCATCACTCCTGCAGCTTCCCAGTTTTCAAACTCTCAGCACTGACGATCATTCTTCACTATATATGGTTTGCATAATTAACTTGACTACACAGCTTATGTACTTGTTGCTCAAAAATCAACCTGTAACGTACTAAAAAAAAATAACCACCAATTATATGCTTAAGTGCACACACTCCCTCTATCGAACTCAGTTACTTCTTGCCTTTTTTCTCGTTGTAGACCATACCCACTCCGTTTCGATACTTTCTCTTTCTACGGCGGACAAAAGTTTGTTCGCTAACAACAGCCTTCGCTTTGCTGTCCACTGTGACAAAGTTTACGACCGCTACGACTTGAACGCGCATGACTATGGTTTATCCATAATGGCCCACCGCCGCCTAAAGCAGGGGTAGCGTTTAGGACCAACGGCGGTTGCTATGGTCTCGCCACTGTTCCCAGTGTCAAAGGTATACGCGGTCGGGGTTAGCCGGTCGGTGTAGCTTTGCATTATCAGCGTCGAGCCCTTTGGTTTTGGTAGACAAGAAGCGGGCGAGATCAAACGTCAACACAATGCAATAAACTAATTTTGCGCCCCTTTTTTCCCTCCACTCTGCAAAGTACGGGAAGTCACCCAAACGCGTAAGGATCCTAAGCAACAATCGAGACAGAAGAGGCGAAGGAACCAAAGGGCCAGAGGATCAAAAACTGCTATAAAGGCGAAAGGACTGCGGTGCAAGTACGGTGACCCAGCGTACTTGTCTGTACTGCCATTTCTGAAGCCAGTCTACTCTCAACAGGCCTAGGTTTATCTGCAGATCCTTGTTCCCTTTCTCCTGTAGAATGTAGTTTAATAGGGAAGCAAAAAAGAAAGAGAACGACGAAGAAAATGTGCAAATGAACTCCGTCGAATAACCCCTGGCGCCCTCTGCCTTTCGTTGTGATAGTTTGCATTCAGTGCAGAGCTAGACGCATCCTCCCTTTCCACTTGTGGAGGCACGCAGCATCAAAACGACCGTAGCGCCATGGCCGTGACAGGCGGTGCAAAAGGTTTTGTCGCGGCGGTGTATAGCACTCCCCTGACTGTATTGTCTCTTGCCTCTGCTCCAGCCCCAGGTCTTCCCTAGCATGGTACACTAAACAGCGGAAAAGGTCCCCGCAGAACGAGCCTAGTTGTCAACCGTTGCACATCGGCCATCCTTTCGTAGCTAGACCTCCCCACGTTCCCGGTCCTCCATACATCCAGTGTGTCGAACAGGAAGCGGTGTCATTGAATTTTCACCACGTCGGGTGTTGCAATATACTTGACTAGTGACAGCTAGACTGCTGATCGACTAAGCGATACCGAATTCGAGTACGGATACTGACAGTTGTTGAGTTCGAGATAGAGCCGCTTGTCGGGGAACGGCAATCGTTGGAAAAGCAAAAGAAGGACCAGCACCAAAAAAGGGAAATCAGGAAGTAAGAGAACAAGACCCGTCGCCGCCGCTACCGCTGCCGCTGCCGCTGCTATCGCTTACAGCAAGGAAACGACGCCCAGACAAGACGAGGAGATCAACGGGCTGCGAGTCACGAACGAGACGTAACCGAAAGAAAATAAAGCAAGCAGATTTGTTGTGATATAGTGAAGAAATATTTGCTGTTAGTCCCGCGCCGTCATTGCGCGGCTGTTTTTGTTTGTTTGGATGAGTCCGCCAACTCGCCCAAAGACAGCGGACGCCGTCCACGCGGAAACGGTCGACCTATAAGCGCCAAAAACGATATCATTCAAGCCGCCATATCGGCGCAGAATAGAAGCACGAGTTAGATTTCAGTCTAAGAGAAAACGGAAAGGGTGTCGTGTCTAAAAAGTCGACTGCTGTATTTCAGGTGAGTTGACAAACAAAATGGCAGAAATATCGCATATAATTGTATGCAGTAAATTGTTATAGAGACAGGTTTCAACTGGATGAAATGAGCTACCTTGAATAATGAAACGCTTCTCATCCGCCCCAATGATTATTCTATAGCCATTTTAAATAATGGATTTGTAATTGTTTGCTTAAATGTGGAACTAAAATCCCCAGACTTCGATACCTCGCCGATTGTCAGACAGGCTTTGATTTTTAACAGCTTTCAATAGAGCTAACAGGAGATTTCGGTAAAGCACGGGAAATAGAACATAAGAAATAAAATGAAATATTGTTTTGCTTCAAATAAAGATTTTTTATTTTCAATAAAAGCTATATTTCCACTATCTAGCCGTATTCTGACGTGTACAAATCGTTTACATTATCGATACATGCAGCATTTGCCAGTCTACGAAGATTTCAGAAGTGCTAACTGTACGAAAATCCATCCGACCTAAATGAATTCATTCCTATGCCTAGTTCCCTCTATGGGAACAAACGTAAGGTAACAATAATATACCGTTCATCGTAAACTTGTTGTTCTACTTACGATATCAATACACCCAAATACACGCGGCGCTATCCGGGTACTATCATTCACAATACCGGGGCCGATTTAATAGTGGCCTAAGCCCAAAACGCGCAAAGCTATTCCATGTCGAATTGCTAGAACAGGCACGAACGGGCCCGAGTTGTATTTAAATCCAATAAGCAATTAATCGATAGGTAGGTATTTGTCAGCTTTCAAATAATTCGTCTAGGAACTTCCGGCTATATTGAGAACGCAATTCATACCAACTATTACTTCTAACTTCTGTCTGTATGAAAAACAACGCCATTATATA